GTCCAAACTGCATGTGCTTAGCTTCATTTTCTGATAAGCTTTGCCTTTCACAGACAACAATAAGTACCCATTGCAAAATGCAGGGACTTCTAGCAATCAGCAAAGCATCATGAGACATCTCTTTATGAAGGGAGTTTCCCTTAGATTGTCTAGTGAGGTTGAGAGTCGCACAGGGGGCACCTTTGGTGTGGATCAACATGAGTCAAATCCTCAGCACCCTTGCAGCATAGAGAGAAGAGGGCCGAGACATGGCAATAAATGAGGAGGGAAGCAATTTAATTAAGTAGATCAGCCATAGTCTAAATCGTATGAGTTCAGCTCAGTTACCTTTAATGTCATAATGGGAACAGTAAAATACATATAATAACAATTCCAACAAACTAAAATGTAATAATGAACCATTAAAATACATACAAATCAGTTTAAAAGCCTGTATCTGATTTTAATCCCTTCAGGTAGAAACTTAGCAACCAAAGCTGTAATTTCAAAGTTGATGTTGTTTAAGAGATATTGGATAATTATATTGTTATTAGCATTAGAATTAAAGATCAATGACAATGGTAAAAGTTCCTTATGAATGGCTGCATGAAATTGGCAATTTAAAATGATATGTTGAATTGAGTCAAGAGATTTTTAAGGAACAGTTACACAACCTTTCATGAATGGGGATTTTTTTGAATCTGCCCAATAGCCTATTTGAGAGAAGGACGTTTAATCGAGCTAAAGTAGATGCTCTACGATGTGAAGGAACATCAAGATTGTGAAGGGACTTAGCCATTTGGTTATGTCGTGTAACAAGATTCAAAAAAGCATGAGATGAAGAATGAGGATGTAAAGGGCACAGTTTTTAAATTTCTAAATCAATCTTTGTTTAATTATCCAGAAAACAGTGGTTTCATCCAACAAAAGGAAATTATCGATAGAAATACCAAATCGGTTAAAAAATTTTTTTCAGTGCCTGAAAACCCATTGATACTGTGTGGATTGAGTTCTAATCATGAAATGAGAGAATTTGTTGAAGCTCTGAAATGTATTTTGAGCCAATATTTAAAGGTAGCTAACCAGGTTTTCATTTCTATAAGATGTTGACCCAGTTCAATGCATAATGCTGAATAAGGAACACATCTAGGAACACCCAGGAGTTGTGGAAAGAGATTTGCTTGGATCCTTGATGATTCTTTTCTTCATTCCTGAGTACAGGAATATTAATTTGGGAGAATGCTTTGAAAGAAATCAGAATGATTCCGTAAGGTTTCCCCAAACCCAGCATACGGTAGACAGGCCATGCTCCCTGTTTTCTCCCTTCGTCCCTTTAGCTTAAAAATAAATAAATATAACTTAGAGGAATGTGACGGAGCACTTGAAGGGTTTCAGCAGCCCTTATACACTGGAGTCCATGCAAATTAGCCCCACCATTTTGTTTCCTTAAAGCCCACCCTTGTCAGCCCAGCCCTCCAGACTCAGAACACCCAAAGCCTCCTGCCGGTCCTGGCGTTAATCCTCTCTCGGCATCCTCCAACACAACAACAGCCATGATCTTCTGGCTGAAGCTTCTTCCGTTTTTTGCAGCTCTTTGGGGTGCTTTTCTTCTTTCCTACCCATACCTTGAACAATTACTTCTGTTGTTATTGTTGCATACAGTTTCCCCAAATTCTTAACTTGCCTTTCATTTGCAGGCTGCCACTCAGTTCTACTGGTGGAAACTGGAGGGGGAATTGTCATGCCTGGAGGCTCCCTCCGTCTCTCCTGCAAGGCTTCAGGGTTCACCTTTACTAGCTATCAGATCCACTGTGTCCGGCAGAAAGAACTGGAATGGGTGGCTGGAGTTAGCAGCTCTTCAGGCAGCACCCAGTGGTATAACCCCAAGGTCCAGGGCAGATTCACCACCTCCAGAGACAATTCCCAAACATCAGCCTATCTGCAAATGAGCAGCCTGAAGCCTGGAGACACAGGACTGTATTACTGTGCAAGAGACACAGTGACAGCATTTCAATTCCTGCTAGTACAAAAACCTTCAGAGTAGTGAGAACGCTGGTACAAAAACCTTCAGAGTAGTGAGAAAAAACAGAGGACACTTCCTTGCAGGATGCTGTGGCAGAATGGGGGTGCCAGAGAGCTACTATTTGACAGAGAGCTACTATTTGACATACAAGAGAAAAGATAGGAAGCATGGGAGAAAGTTAACTTACATGGATCTCAGATCAACTAGCAGCCTGAACAGCCCTGCTTAGCCCAACCTTGTCAGAACTTGGAAACTAAGCAGGGTCATCCGCAGTTAGTACTGGGAAGAGAGACCTCCAAGGAAGTCATGAGCACGTGATGCTGCCGTATACTGAATCAGAGCCTTGGTCCATCAAAGTGAGTATTGTCTACTCAGACTGGCAGGTGTTCTCTGGGGTCTCACTTCCACATATTCTACAACCTGATCCTTACTGGAGATGCAAGGGATTCAACCTGGGACCTTCTGCATGCCAAGGAGATGCCCTACCACTGATTCATGGCTCCTCAACACACAAGCGCAGGGTTACCATCCAGAGGCAGATCTCTTGCCTGGCACACCCTGTGGTCATCATGAGTCAGTTGTGACTTGTCAGCACATTCTCCTCCTCTTCAAATCAGCATCCTGCCCCTTTGATGTAAGCACTGGTTGGACTGTTCCTCCATCCTTTTCCCATGAAACAAATCACCAGAACAACATACTAAAGTGAGGGATGCCGTCAAAGAGCTCATGGCTACTGCTTAAATTCAAAGACCTGTGGGATTAATTCCCACATATTCTACAACCTGATCCTTACTGGAGATGCAAGGGATTCAACCTGGGACCTTCTGCATGCCAAGGAGATGCCCTACCACTGATTCATGGCTCCTCAACACACAAGCGCAGGGTTACCATCCAGAGGCAGATCTCTTGCCTGGCACACCCTGTGGTCATCATGAGTCAGTTGTGACTTGTCAGCACATTCTCCTCCTCTTCAAATCAGCATCCTGCCCCTTTGATGTAAGCACTGGTTGGACTGTTCCTCCATCCTTTTCCCATGAAACAAATCACCAGAACAACATACTAAAGTGAGGGATGCCATCAAAGAGCTCATCCCTACTGCTTAAATTCAAAGATCTGTGGGATTAATTCCACATGTCCCTTGTGCAAACAGAACATGTAAAGTCATAGTTTTCGTGCCTTTTGCTGCTTCCTTGGGTCAAACTTTCCCATGTGGGAGGTTTTGTCAATTTCCTATAAAGCATTTAAAAGACCCAAAGGAATGTGGAACAGCATCAGTGAATGGGTTACTACTATTTATTTTTTTTATTTTTTTAAAACCACTCTAAAACTGGGCAGCAGGAGTGAAAACAGGATATATGAAAATGCTCCCTAGGACAGCATTTAAAAAGAGAATCAACTGGAAAGAGTCTTTACATAGATCCATCATTAAAATCACAATGGGTAGGATCCAGTCCCCCACTAGATACTCTCTTTCCACAGATGCTTTTGTGTATACAGAATTTCCTCCCTTCACCCCTCTGCTGTATCAGCTGCCTGCCTGTGCACAGAGAGGTATATAGTTCATGGAATGGTTCTTTCAACCTTTGAATACTGTGAATGAAGAATGATGTACAGGGTTAGCAAAGGGCCCTCATTATACTGAATCAGACCTTTTGCGATGATGGTTATGTAAATGTAAGGGCAGCCCCTTTTCAGACTCGGGTTCACGTCTTTCTATGTTATCTCTACCTGAGGTATCATCAACCTGCTTCCTGTACCCCCCCTACTTCCTGTACCACACAACCCCCTTCCTGTGCCCCCTCCTTTCTCAAGAAAGCCTGTGTGGAGAGTAAGTTGACTGGGAACCTGAAACTCCTTGTATCAATTACTCCTAAATCAATTTCAGTGACAATCAGAAAAATAAATCTTATTGACACCTTATTAACATCTTATTGACATCAGAAAAATAAATCTTATTGACACCTTCTTTGGCTTTTTACTCTCTCCAGCTTTCAACAAATCAGATGGAAAGAATGTTGTGCCTTCAATTTCTTTTCTTTTCAGGGCTATTCAGAGGCATTTTTCTGTTCTTTAGAATAAAGAATACGGTTTGTTTGTTTGTTTGTTTATTGTCAAAATTATACCCCGCCCTCCCCACAAAGCAGGCTCAGGGTGGCTTTCAATAGCATGATACATTCCAGGTGTAAATGGGATGCAGATCTCTAAAAATGTCTTTCTTTCTAGAGGAGAGGACCAAGGTCCAGGTGGTCCAAACTGGAGGAGATGTCAAATGTCCCGGAGAGTCCTCCCACCTGTCCTGTAAAGCTCCTGGGTTCACTTTCAGTGACTTCAACAAGCACTAGGTGAGGCAGGCTCTTGGAAAGGTGCTATATATTTGTCAGGGAAGAAAATGTATGTAGTCCACCGTGATGGTCTATAAAGACATCAAGCATGATAAATATATATGTGAATGAACCCTTTGAAAAGCAACAGAGGTTTCCCGGAGACCCAGTTGGGTGCCATACATGGGCTAGATTTTTGGAGCATCATAGTAATTCTAAGGCAGCCCACAAGAGACAAACACAACACTATCGTCTTATAAAAAAACAGTCACCAGAAATGTTCTCTGCCTGTCCATCCATCCACTGTCACAATTTCTATTCTGTAGGGAGCTAAAATTGATAAGGATCTCAGGAGTAAGCCCTGCACTCACTTCTTCTAACACCCTCTTTATAGTTGATGCATTTCAGGAAGGAGGGGGTCATGCAAATCCCAGGTGCTCCAGGGGTGGGAAATGCTCTTCTTCAAAAAGGAAACCACTCACATTTAGGGACCTCACTTTCTCCCAAGTCCCCAGAGACATCCTTCCTGCCAAGCTCGGACATTTCATTATTAATATCATGACATTAATCCTATGCTTCCTATGTTTCTTGGTCACAATTCCAGGATGTAAGCAAATATTCTTTGGAGAGTGAAGATATATTGATTTGGTTGAATCCCTTGTTCTATGATGATCCCGATGCATTTCAATGCTCTCTCTTTCCCAGGGGCCTCCTCAGATGTTCAGCTGACGTCATCTGGACCAGGAGTGGTGAGACCCGGAGAGAATCTCAGCCTGCTCTGTAAGCTGACAGGCATCTCCATCTCCAGTTCTACCTATGCTTGGAACTGGTTCCGTCAGCCTCTCGGGGAAAGTCCGGAATGGATTGCAGAGATATACCCTTATGGTGGGAAACAGTGGCAGAACCCTTCTCTTCGAAGCCGTATGACCATTTCTGCAGACACCTCCAAGAATGAGTTCTCCCTCCAGCTGACCTCCCTGACAGCTGCTGACTCTGCAGTGTATTATTGTGCTCGCAGACACACGGTGAGGCGAGGCCAATGGGAGCTGCATCAGAAAGAGGAACATGTGTTTTTCATGCCACTCAGTGTTTGAGAGTGTGCAGCTCAGTGTGAAAGAACAATATTAGGCCACAGAGAACACCAGCATAAATGCACAATTGAGTCAAGCACTAGCATTCCAAGAGGTTAGCATCGATTCTTCATGCACATAACTGCCACATCATACACAGAAAACTCTTATGGAGTCTGGGGTTGCATTTGAAATGTGAGAAAGATGGCACTGTAGGTCAAGCAACAATATGGTTCCCTTGCCTTTAGAAATAACACAGCAACAGGTGATAATAACAATCTCCATGCTTTAACAATTAACACCTGATTTTATATTTTCCACATCTGAAATTTAACTAATATCAATTGTCCAGATTTTTGCAGCAACGAACAACCAATGTGGCTAGCGGTTGCTGAAAGAAGTGAAACCGTGCTTGGATTTCTTCCAGCAGACGGAGCGATTTTGTTGGAGCAAAACTTAAAAAAAACAACACTCCTGCCTTTATAATATTTGATTT